CCGGTCACGGTTGGGAGCCGAGCGGGGCTTGCTTGTCCTCCGGAGGTTCCTCTCCCTCAGCTTTTTACCATTCTCCTGCAAAGAAATACACTTTTTTCCCTCCCCGGCTTAAGAGCGGTGCTGCCGGGAAGCCGCAGTCTTGCCTTTGGAATGCGTCGGGGATTGCACCACATGGCAGGTGGCACTAAAACATTTTTGCAGGGGAAGAAAATCCTGTCCCAACCTAACAGCAGGATGTTTGTGTCCCCACCGCCGTGCAGAGAGGAGGTGGGGGGGTGGAGGGGGATGGAGGCTGGCAAGTCCCCCGTAGCTGGCTTTGCAGAGCTCTTGTCCCAGTTTCTTGCTGGACCTGAAGGATATATTATATTTGAGGCAATTATATTTTTAACTGGAGCCTGTTGATAGGCGGGGAGGGTGGGGAGAAGGCTATGAGGGCTGTTTTTGCATCCCTCACTTGTAACAGTGAGTTCACAAGTATCGATGTTTTCACGACAATAGTAGATCAACACAGGAAAACTTGTTTTATTGCTGTTGAATGACAGAATTACTGCAGTGTGCACTGCCTGGGAGAGTAAAGTCCTGGTATGAGACCTGCAGAAATATGGAGAGATTGAAGATAAGAGTTTAGTTTTCAATGCTTGCCTTATAGGAATAAAACATATGACAGGTTACACGTGCAAAATACAATACTTCCTTAATTTGTAGTTTCTCTGCTGAGGTATGTTGGGTCATTAAACATAAATTAACTGGGCTGTATACATTGTTTAATCTTAAATACAAGGGTGTAGTTGAATGGGTTTGACAGACTTTAGCAGTCATATAGTAGAGCTGTATAAAAGCGTTGCACAGGTTACTGTGTCCTTTTATTAAGAAATATCTTTCACATGAGCATTCTGTTCTTTATTCTCTGTTCTTTGGCTCTGTCAAAGTGTGATCAGAATTTTCAAATATGGGTACGTAATGATTACACATCTGCTCTGCTGCTGTATTTGAGCAGGCATGCATGGTTTTTCATTAACATAATGTGCAAATTTATATCGTGAATATCGTTTATGTTATATCATGAGGAGGGATGCATATTGAACTCCACCAGTAAAGAA